TAGAAAGCAAAAATTTTAAATTCATAGAAAGCCGAAAATTTTAAAAAGCCGTGTGGTAGCAAAGTTAGAAAATCTATCCATATCGTCCCGAGAGTATCGTATGAGACTATGGGAATACCCAGAAACATCTTATGTTCTTATGGTCTATGATAAACTTCTCGTATAAACCGGCGGCAGAGAACAAAAAGGTCTAAGGAAACACAACAACATATAACGCGATCATCATCTTAGGATGGCGATTAAGGCAATAGTAATGGGTAAAATCCATGTCCAGCTGCGGATGCATACAGTATGGTTTTTTTTTAGAATAAGGATGACAAACGAGCACACAGTCCATATGGTAAGTGGATGCTGCGGCCCATAGACATCTACATTCATCTTCAATTAAGAATTAAAATGCAGATGCGTTGTCAACCCTGAGGACTGACATGGACTGCCTCGTTTCCAGTAAAAAGGGTCTCCGGTTCTCTACACTCACCATACGAAACAATGCAACATTAAGCTGCTATTTTACGCCCATCCCGGTCGAGCCGACCCATTCGTGCTACAATCATAATATAGCTGCAGCGCGGCTCTACCACGTAAGAAAATTTGCAGATATTTCCGGCTATATATCTGTAAATTATATCAGAATATATCTTTACAACAAAATATAGCTGCAGCATGGCTCTACCACGTAAGAAAATTTGCAGATATTTCCGGCTATATATCAGTAAATTATATCAGAATATATCTTTACAACAAAATATAGCTGCAGCGCGGCTCTACCACGTAAGAAAATTTGCAGATATTTCCGGCTATATATCAGTAAATTATATCAGAATATATCTTTACAACAAAATATAGCTGCAGCGCGGCTCTACCACGTAAGAAAATTTGCAGATATTTCCGGCTATATATCAGTAAATTATATCAGAATATATCTTTACAACAAAATATAGCTGCAGCGCGGCTCTACCACGTAAGAAAATTTGCAGATATTTCCGGCTATATATCTGTAAATTATATCAGAATATATCTTTACAACAAAATATAGCTGCAGCGCGGCTCTACCACGTAAGAAAATTTGCAGATATTTCCGGCTATATATCTGTAAATTATATCAGAATATATCTTTACAACAAAATATAGCTGCAGCGCGGCTCTACCACGTAAGAAAATTTGCAGATATTTCCGGCTATATATCTGTAAATTATATCAGAATATATCTTTACAACAAAATATAGCTGCAGCGCGGCTCTACCACGTAAGAAAATTTGCAGATATTTCCGGCTATATATCTGTAAATTATATCAGAATATATCTTTACAACAAAATATAGCTGCAGCGCGGCTCTACCACGTAAGAAAATTTGCAGATATTTCCGGCTATATATCAGTAAATTATATCAGAATATATCTTTACAACAAAATATAGCTGCAGCGCGGCTCTACCACGTAAGAAAATTTGCAGATATTTCCGGCTATATATCAGTAAATTATATCAGAATATATCTTTACAACAAAATATAGCTGCAGCATGGCTCTACCACGTAAGAAAATTTGCAGATATTTCCGGCTATATATCAGTAAATTATATCAGAATATATCTTTACAACAAAATATAGCTGCAGCATGGCTCTACCACGTAAGAAAATTTGCAGATATTTCCGGCTATATATCAGTAAATTATATCAGAATATATCTTTACAACAAAATATAGCTGCAGCATGGCTCTACCACGTAAGAAAATTTGCAGATATTTCCGGCTATATATCAGTAAATTATATCAGAATATATCTTTACAACAAAATATAGCTGCAGCGCGGCTCTACCACGTAAGAAAATTTGCAGATATTTCCGGCTATATATCAGTAAATTATATCAGAATATATCTTTACAACAAAATATAGCTGCAGCGCGGCTCTACCACGTAAGAAAATTTGCAGATATTTCCGGCTATATATCTGTAAATTATATCAGAATATATCTTTACAACAAAATATAGCTGCAGCGCGGCTCTACCACGTAAGAAAATTTGCAGATATTTCCGGCTATATATCTGTAAATTATATCAGAATATATCTTTACAACAAAATATAGCTGCAGCATGGCTCTACCACGTAAGAAAATTTGCAGATATTTCCGGCTATATATCTGTAAATTATATCAGAATATATCTTTACAACAAAATATAGCTGCAGCATGGCTCTATAACGTAAAAAAAGAAGATAGGTTTATTTTTTAAACTTCTTTCTATATATATATTAAGGATGAAGATGAAAGATGTGTCATCACCCTCGAGGACTAAGATTGAATGCCTCACAACCTGTAATTAAAGTGAATCTATATCCTTCAGACGGCAGATATAGGTAGTACCTACACAGACCGACTCCTACGTATAAAAGAAGTTTGACAGACGAGTACACAGTCTACCTGATGATAAGTGGTTGCTGTGGCTCATAGATATCTACATCTATCCTCGATTAACAAATCAAAATGCAGATGCATTGTCATCCGTGAGGACTAAAATGGAATGCCTCGTTTGCAGTAAAAAGGGTCTCCAGTTCTCGACACTCACCGCATTAAGCTACTATTTTACGCTGGTATTCTGTGAGAGCGTGATCCTTCCCCGGTCGAGCCGGCCCATTCGTGCTACAACTATACTACTAATATAACTGCAGCATGGCTCTACCACGTGGAAGAAGTGTAGTTACTTAAGACTGCTATTCTAAATCAATCAATCGCGTTTTACAGAATTTATCTGAGTATTAAGAGGATAGAGTAAGTCAGCTCAAATTCTAATTTCGCCCCCACTTCCCCGCGCGTCGTATGCTATGTACCGATATGTTTGTAATCACTAATACTGTAAGTAGAAAGGTCGTTAGACACTTATTTCATTAGGTTTATCATATTTATGCCTGTTTCTTAACGCCAAGCCAGCCGCTTCTTATTTTTATCACGGTTATTTCCCATTTTAATTTTACGGCGTACTGTTGCGTAATGTATATTCTGATCGTAAGCGACACAACTTCTCCCTTCAAAAGCCTAAGCGATACTAACGTGCGACAGGAATCAAGCTCAAGACGCCGATAGTTTAGGTAATTTCTTTTTTACAGTGAAAATAATGGTATTTTAAAAAAAGTAAATAACATAAGCACTGTTTTATAGTTAGTTCAGTTAGTATGCAAAGTTTCATGATCTTATTTAAAGTATTTTATGAATAACAGCGGTTTATTGTTTATTTTGGAGGTAACTTTGGATTTTTTTTCTATCGAGAAAATTTTACGAAATCGTGTTTTCGTCTAACATAATCATTAACATTAATCCTCAACTTTACCATATATTTATTTCAAAATTAATGCTGCAATATTTTCGGCATAACGAAGGATCTTGCTAAGCCATTTGACATTATATTTCCCCTTAAGTAAACTCATCTAAATCAACGGTTATAGATATAAATATTTAAATATCAACTCTCAATTTCACCGACAAAAAACTTAAAACAATAATTTCTGGCGAACTATGTGAGGTAAATGCTACAAGCAACATTGCGTCATGTAATCTCTCATCACATTAGCAACTAATTGGTAATCGCCATACAATCTTTTACGAAACGTCTGGCATAATTTTTTGTCCTTAACTTATACAAAAAATTACGCTCAACGACCTCGTACTGGTTTTATCTATTATTAAAAATTGCTTCTGACGGAAAATACGTATGTAATAAATTGCAATAAGAGCTCTGTAAATAAATAACTATTTTGTTCACTAGGTATCAGTGACTATGGGAAAAGGACAAAAAGTCTACCCATTTGGTATACCATATATGATCCGATAGCTCTTTATCGGTCAATCAAATAATTAAGAGACAAAAGGACGCAGCTTTATCGACGCAATTTTTACAGTTGATATTATAGTAAATATTTTAGTCAATTTTAGTATGGCGTAATGTAGTTCGTTTTTATTAGGTTGATTTTCTAAAAGTTTCTAATTATTGTTAAAGCTTATTTGCTATTTTTTAATTAATATATTAGTTATAGTATACGAATTTGTGTTTTTGTATCTATCTATTAATTATACTATATTTTGCACTTGATGCTGTAACTGTAACGGTAACGGTATTTTACCTGTTTTTTACAGTTTTACAGTCCACCTGATGGTAAGTGGTTGCTGTGGCCCATAGACATCTACATCTGTCTTCGATTACGAATCAAAATGCAGATTCGTTGTCATCCGTGAGGACTCGAAGAATGCCTCGTTTCCAGTAAAAAGGGTCTCCGGTTTTCTACACTCACCATACGAAACACAGCAGCATTAAGCTGCTATTTGACGCAGGTATTCTGCGAGAGCGTGGTCCTTCCCCGGTCGAGCTGACCCATTCGTGCCGACCCATTCGTGCTACCCTAATATAACTGCAGCATGGCTCTACCACGTTAAAAACCTTCATATACATCTTTTCAAACTAATTCATTATATTTCACGGGTTTTCAGGTGGAAAACTACTTAATGCTGAGTGAATACGAAAATAATTTAATAGCAGAGCTGCCTAACTTGAACGAACGTCGAGGCAGACGCTGGTCCATCGTGGTCGGCAACTCTAATTCACCACAGCCGTCGACGATTCCCGAAAATCAAACTACCCCCGAACATCGCAAAAACTCAATCAAATCGAAAAAAAAGTGCCATAATTCAAATAATAGACTGATTACAGTGATAAACGAGGCATCGTTATAAACTTGTAGTGAAATAATTTTGAGACAATAAATAGCAAATAATTCAGTTAGTGTAACAACGACCTATTTAACCTCATAATTTATTTGATGTGTGTGAATAGTAGCGACAATTGTGTATTGTTCTGTATAAGTTATTAAATTATTACGTACTACGACTTGCTTTTTTATTGTACAGGGCCCAGTTAATGAAACAACAATTTTAAAAGACAGTAGTTAAATATATTGACATTTTAATACCATTATAACTAGCGAATACTGTACCGAAAAATATAATAGAATACAATAATCAATGCCGCTGTGGAATAACAATGTCCTCTATAAACTGAGCAAAACAACGCATTGCCTGAAGGAGTGCAGCGAGAAGTATGGACAAGGATAAACTAACCAACTTCTGGTTTTCGGACACAACAACTTCGTTGTTCACGACAGGAACTAAACTTTGACTCATACCTACACTATGCGTTATTGAGTTATCACAATCAACGTTATACACATTTGTATCTATAATATCCTCACCAAATTTACTAGACTCACAGACGTTATCGACATCGCATGTCATATCTATCACAGTAAATTCGTTATTAATTATGTCATTATCATTAAGTATATTTGCAGATTTATACCTGTATAGGTCATCCTTAACATTAACATTTTTATTAACATCTTTAGAACAACATGGAATTTCATTCCAATTCACAATACATTGAGTTTGGTTTGCTAGGCACTTCGTTATTACTCCCTTCTTATCATCTACTGTTGAAGTCATGTTTATATTTAAATTATTGTTATTATAGACACTTGCATTAAACGAGTCTTCGTTTTCTTCTGACGACATACCACTATCATTATTGTCCAATAAGACTTTTTCATCTTGTAAACATTCATTTTTTTCTTTGTCTATTCGTTCCATATCAACATTCGTATTATCAAAGCTACCATAACTAAGTTTGGAAGCGTTATGTACAGAATGTGTTACCGTGCCCCCTGAGGGCACGGACTCTGGTCAAGAGATCTTTCCACAACTTATACTTCCCTTTATTACGATCGCACTGGAGATCGTACTAGAGAGTATATCTTGTGTCCCAAATAAACTATCTACGTCAGCGAGTGACGCATTATTCAAAGAACAGGCGTCATCTAACAGTAATTCTGATCTTAAACCCTGAAATTAAAAACGAAATTAAAAACAATGTTACTATAAATATACTAAAATACCTATTATCTCAGTGAATTACAATGCTTACCACAGCAAAATACTCATACTCCTTTTCAAATGACATTAAAAATATGCAGAAAAAAGCCGTTAATGAGTAAGTGCAAAGGGACGTAATGATGAAACAGACGTGAAAAACACTGGAACCAGCTACAAATTAACAAAAATATAAAACGTTAAGTATATTATCATAATCAGTACTATAAAGTAAATTAAAAATTAAACTATACCTTCGGGCAAAAATGAAGATATAGTCCCAAAAATGGCCATTATAATTAGTAGAAGGAAGCTCGTATTGGCAAGAAATTGTCGAAGAATTAACAAATGTTTGTCATAAAACAATGTAGATATATATGTTGTTATAATACACTGAAAGAAAAATGCGACATTGTTAATAACAATAACCCTATAGACTTTAAAATACGTTTAAAATTAGAAATCCCAATCAAATACCGAAACATTCATAAACCAATTGGGATACTAAGAAAATCGAATTATTACACAGGTTTAAATCGTAAAAAAAAACAATGAACACCGACCATACAAACTATTTAGGATGCGACCAAGTACAAAATTTCAATTTTTTTTTAATTTGTTGTAACATAAGAATGATACATGGATTAAATATATTTAACTTCCAAAAACCATAAAGTTTGTCCGCAAGTTACAAACTTACAACTTACTTAAAAATAACATCTTACTTAAAAATAACATCTTAAATCACATAAAACGCGGACACCGAGTTGATACTTGGATCTAAAATCACTTGTTATCCCTTCGATCTATCGGGATTCGGTGTTCAAAGTTGCCCTATCGTATCATGTGACAATGAAAATTTAATTGTATCACAATTTAATTTATTTTTAATACTGAACATTTAACAAATTCCAAAGTTAACTCTACATTCATACCTAGATCAATTTTATAAGAAAATTAAAAGCGGGTCTTTTAATTGTAATCGGTAGGTAAGAGTAGAGCAATAAATTTATCGTAGTAAGAACAATAAATTTATCGTATTTAAATCATTATGATTTCCGTGTCGTTTTTAATAATATTTTTAACACCTACAATAGTTTACTTTATCCGCTTGTTTCGTAATATTTATATCCCTTATCGACAATAGCCTGTACATTTCACTGCGGACGTAGTTCTCTAACATCGCAACAGGCTTTACAGGAGGATTAGCGATAGTAATACTAGACGTCCATGATATTTAATACTACTCCTCATTGCCAGATTGAGTATTTTACATCTAACCTACACTTTAGATGTTCATTACACTATCATCTCTTTATAATCAAGGAAAAATTTGAATCAGACATCTGATAAACATTATAAACTATTACTTTTAAACTTATTTATTTAATCTTTATTGTGTTACACCTTTAGATGTGAAGGCGGTTGTCAACGATTTCAATGTTTTGACATAGATAAAACATATTTTATTTTTTACAATAAGTTTTTTCTCTTTGCTAACGAAAAAAATTTGATATTTTAGTTTAGTGTTCTCATATTAACTCTTTACTACACCTACTTCATACTATCTCTGCATCACTTCAAGGTAGACTGGTAGAGAATGGCTTAGGCATTAAGTCCGCCTATATATCGCGTGTGTATATGAAGTTTTAAATATATAAATAACAAATAAACCACAGAAAGCCCCCATAATGTATAATAGTCCTTTTTAGGGTTCCGTAGTCACCTAGGAACCCTTATAGTTTCGCCATGTCTGTCTGTCCGTCTGTCCGTCCTCGCTTAATCTCTGTGACCGTTAGCACTAGAAAGCTGAAATTTGGTACCAATATGTGTATCAATCACGCCGACAAAGTGGTAAAATAAAAATTGGAAAAAAATGTTTTATTAGGGTAGACCCCCTATATGTAAAGTGGGAAGTGATTTTTTTTTAATTTCAACCCTAACGTGTGATATATTGTTGGAAAGGTATTTAAAAATGAATAGGAGTTTACTAAAATCATTTTTTCATAATGACAATAATTTCGGAAATAATCGCTCCAAAAGTAAAAAACAATGTATCCCCCCCCCCCTCTAACTTTTGAACCATAAGTTTAGAAAATATGAAAAAAATCTGAAAAGTAGAACTTTATAAGGACTTTCTAGGAAAATCATTTTGAACTTGGATGGAAACAACAGTACAGTGGGTACTTGCATTTTTACTTTACCGGGAGCAGTTGCAGGAGCGCGGAGCGCTGCTGGAGCGCGAACATAATGGATATCCACCTTTAAACTCATAAGTGGGAACACTTATTGTGACGGACGGGAAACTACGGAACCCTACACCGTGCGTGGCCCGACACGCTCTTGGCCGGTTTTTTTAGATATAAGTAGCACATTTTCAAAAACCGCAAATACAACATTGTCATTTATACAAACACTATAAAAACAAAGTAATTTGTTGCTGGCGATAATGATAGTGGTATTTTGACTAGATGGAGAATCTATGCTTGTTACTACATAACTCTTCATTGGCGAGCGAGTCCGATTCGCAGTTGGCCACTTTTTTCAACTTTCAGTTTTTTTAATAAATTATTTTTTCGTTTAAGCGATACTGTTTTTATTTTAGATTTATTACCTATATCTATAACAATCAACCTGAGTAGGTAAAGTGTGTAAATACGATTCTTAAATCGTAAAAATAATAATTGGAATTGATCATCTAAGGTAGGTATTTACTTTTATTTATTTAAAAAATGTTAATCACACAAATAATTATTATAATAATATAATTTAATCACACAACTATGCAACGCTCTCATTAGCAATTTAATGGCAAAAGAATTTTTAAAATCGGTCAAGTACTTTTCGAGGTTAGCCAAAAAACATATTCATAGAATCCTCACCTCTATAATAGAATGCATCCTAGGTTTACAGTCATAATAGCATTCTAATGGTGAAAGAATTTTTAAATCGGTCAAGTAGTTAAGTTAAGTTAAGCACCATTGCAAAAAGCGAAGCGAGTGCACACACAGTAAAATCATAACCATCCTTTTTCGTCTATAGTCGATTAAAAAACCGGTTGACAACGGTTGCGTATCGGCTGCTTTGGATAAATATCTGTTGTCAACGGTTGCTTTACACCTACATATACACCTTAATGCCTTATACAATTACTTGTTACAATGGGCAGACTTAATGCCTTATGGCATTCTCTACCAGTCAACCCTGGGAGAATTAGACAAGCAAAAGCTGATAGGTGCTAAAAATATATTAAAATGACTACACAAACACATCAACAGAATCTAGGACTTTAGCTAAAATAGCATGGATACAATCCTTTTATTTTGTCTTATTATTTTTATTTTATCTTACTAATCATTTATCTAAATATAATCCCGTACTCTCAAAACTTTCAAAGTTTCCCCGTGTTACTGACGTTATATCCTAACTTTTTCTCAATCATGTGGAATCAGCTTTCATTGTAAGATGAGAATACCTTTGCAGAACATTACGTAATGAAATACAATTAAATAAATAACACATATAGCATACTAACCTGCACCCATAAGTACAACGTTCCGAAAGCACATATAAAAATATGTAGAGCTATGAGACAAATGTTATCCACCTGTAAATACAAAGTATACAATGACGTATCTGATACTATAAGATTATAAACAGATACTGTAAATCATTAGAAGCAAAGAAAGTTAATCGAAATTTATTTACGAAAAGCAGCAACTGTGTTCCATGATCTAAGGATGACATGTTTAATTATAACTGTACATCTATGATATAATATCTACATCCTATTAATGAGAGCCTATCTTCCAGTAGACGATAGAGATCCAGATAAGACGACGATATAGTGAATAATACCCGTTCAAATATACACGCCACAAGCGCTTTAACGACCTTTACCCATCGGCAGCTGGTATCGACGCTCAAAACTTTTGTGACCGTCCGCTTACGTTATTTGGATGTGGTGTGGACTTTGAGCATTAAACCAATTTTTTGGTTTAATACTCAAAGGGTGTGGGATGTTGATTTCGTAGAGTAAGATTACATAGCAACCCTCAGCCTACGATAGCATAGTATATAATCTTACCCCGAAGGTCTGTACATATTACAATACTAGACTTATGAGATTCGTAATGAGATTTCCTCATCTCCGAAATCTTAGTGTCTACGGCGAAAGCAAGAAACATGAAGCGGAAAATTACTGGCTGTCAAATTCTGACAGGCACTCCTTTTATGGACAAAGTTCAAGTCCAAGTGTAGTCAAATAAGATGAAGCGTGCTATCCTTCAGGATGACTCTGATGCCTAATCAGATTGCATGAATTATTGAATGCCATGCTTAGTTAGCACCTTAACTTAAGGCCAGCCTGTTTTTTGTTAATTAGGCTAGGGTAACCTAATGACCAGTTACACCTCCGCTTCGGTAACAGAGCTTTGCTCGTCGTTAGAAAAATACGTAATTTTCTTATCTACCTAGATGAACTTGGAAATTAAAACATTATTTAAATAGAAAAAATCTGATAAAGTGAAATAAGGTGGTTTTATTTTTAGATACCGAATGTCTGTCTGCCGATTAAAACATTAAGTATTTAGTTAGTCTTAAATGCACGGCCTGCTGTAGCATTATCTGAATAAAAAATGAAGAAAGGAACTAGTATTTAATACTGTCTTTATAAATGTTCACTTTTACAAGTGAAACAGAACGCAAGTATTTTGATCATC